TTTATAAAAAATACAAAAATTAGCTGGGCTTGGTGGTGTGCAGCTGTGATCCCAACTACTCCAGAGGCTGAGGTAGGAGGATTGTCTTAGGTTACATAGCCTGGCTTTATAAAAATCCAGGCTTCAGGGCTATGTCATCTTCCTATAACCCCCTTGTTCCTCTGTCAATACATTCCTGTCCCACAAGTCCCTCCTCCTAGATATTTAACTGATTCCCCTCTTCCTTCAAGTGTCGCCCCTTCCCCTCCTTCCAATCCAAGACAACCCTAATTCTTCTTGCCTGTGGCCGCAGCTTCTAGTGGTGCCCGTGGGCTGAAGGCGAAATTTGAGTCCATGGCTGAGGAGAAGAGGAAGCGAGAGGAAGAGGAGAAGGCACAGCAGGTGGCCAGGAGGCAACAGGAGCGAAAGGCTGTGGCAAAGATGAGCCCTGAGGCTCCACAGCCAGTGGTAGCTATAGAGGAGCCAGTGGTACCGGCCCCACTGCCCAAGAAAATCTCCTCAGAGGTGAGCGCCTGGCCCTTCAGGATCCACATCCAATATCTCTTTCCCAGACAGGAGCCTAAGGAGTCCAAAATATTGGCAGAAAATAAGGCAAAGGCCTCCCTTGGGTTGGGCAGCATCTGTTGTCTCTGACTTTAGAAGACTTCAGTCTCACTGTAATTGGGCCTCATATATCAGAATGTTAGAAAGAAAACTCCAAGATTTACATAGTACAACAGAAAGCAAGTCACCAGCCAGTATAGTCAATTATTGCTATAGGAACTAAGAGGAAGGGGCTGTCACTTCAGGTTGGAGCCCATCTTGAAGTTTGAATTGGCAGAGAGCAGGAGAGGGTGTTCCTTGTAAATGTAACAGTTAAGACATGCATGATATGGTGGGTCATACTTGTAATCCTAGCACTCTGGGAGGCCAAGGTAAGAGGATTGCTTGAAGCCAGGAGTTCTAGACCAGCCTGGGCAACATAGTAAGACCCTATCCCTATATATATTTAAAAAAAACTAAAGATTAGCTGGGCATGGTGGTGCATACCTATAGTCCCAGCTACTTGGGAGGCTGAGAGAGGAGGATCATTTGAGCCCAGGAGTTTGAGGCTACAGTGAACTATGATCTCACCACTATGCTCCAGCTGGGGCAGCAGAGTGAGACCCTGTCTCAAAAAAATTAAAAATAAAAAGAATGAAGATGGGTCAGGTATGGTGGCTCACACCTATAATCCCAGTACTTTGGGAGGAGGAGGCGGGTGGATCATGAGGTTAGGAGTTCAAGACTAGCCTGACCAACATGGTCAAACCCTGTCTCTACTAAAAATACAAAAATTAGCCATGCATAGTGGCATGTGCCTTAATCCCAGCTACTCAGGAGGTTGAGGCAGTAGAGTCGCTTGAACCTGGGAGGTGGAGGTTGCAGTGAGTCGAGATTGTGCCACTGCACTCCAGCTTGGGCGACAGAGCAAGATTCTGTCAAAAAAAAAAAAAAAAAAAAAAAAGTGAAGATGGAGGTTTGCATAGTTGAGAGATGCTTCATTCTCCATAGGCCTGGCCTCCAGCTGGGACTCCTCCATCATCAGAGCCTGAGCCTGTGATAACCAGCAGGGAAAATCCAGCGCCCTTGCTGCCCGTGAAGCTGACTCTCCCACAGGTAAGCAAACCCCCAAAGATTCTCTGCCCCCTACCCCATCTCTTCGAGTCTTAGGAAGGTGGGCTGTGCAGGGTGGCCAACCATCCTGGTTTACCTTGCACTGTTCTGGCGTTAGCACGTGAGTCCCTGCATTCTGGGAAACTCCCTTGTCCTGGGCAAACTAGGACAGTAGGTTTTCCTAGCAGTGGTAGCTCAACAATGTGCTTTTGCTTCAGTGTTTCCTTGGTCTCCTAAAGAATCTGACTTGCTTTCCACTTCCCTCCCCTCACACCTTTTACATTTTCTTCCCATTGTCTCTGGAATGTGTTTTGGGTGGTGGGTGTGGGAGGAGGTCGAGGAGTGAAGACGGGTGGTTGAAAGGCTGTGTCCTCCAGRAGGGGCTGTTAGGCAGAGGCAAGGGTGGAGGGGAGAAGAGGCAGGGTGGTGAAGGCAGGGGGGTGGATCTTAGCAGTCCTTCATTGAGTCCTCCTGGAGAGTGGAAGTCACACTGCTCCACACTGTCTCTTCTCAGGACAACGAGGAGCCCCCTGCTCTGCCCCCTAGGACTCCGGAAGGCCTCCAGGTGGAAGAAGAGCCAGTGTATGAAGCAGAGCCTGAGCCTGAGAATGACTATGAGGATGTTGGGGATATGGACAGGCATGAGCAGGAGGATGAACCAGACGGGGACTATGAGGAGGTGCTTGAGCCTGAAGGATCTTTTTCCTCCGCTCCGGCTGGTGAGTGGTGGGAGGAGAAGCAGGAGAACTTGGTCATGTCCAGGGGAGGGTAAGAGGAAGAAGAATTTCTTTGTTGACCCAGCAGGAGCTTTCTCTGTTTGCCTTCTTCACGTTGATGAGACCATGTTTGTGTTTCTCATTATACAGGATCATCGGGCTACCCAGCTGGGGCTCTGGGGATCTCAGCTGTGGCCCTATATGATTACCAAGGAGGTAGGTTGGGAGTGGCCTGAGGACCCTGGTGCCTGGAGGACATGATACAAGACAGGGGGACATGGGGAAAGAGATTCATGTCTGACCATTCTAATATTCCCTCAACTTTCTCCCCAGAGGGAAGTGATGAGCTTTCCTTTGATCCAGATGATGTCATCACTGACATTGAGATGGTGGACGAGGGCTGGTGGCGGGGACGTTGCCATGGCCACTTTGGACTCTTCCCTGCAAATTATGTCAAGCTCCTGGAGTGACTGGAGCTAGCTGTCTGCTGCAACTGTGATTTCCCATGTCCAGAGTGGCTCTGCCTCCACCCCTTCCCTATTCCTGCTGCAAATCTCTAACCAGATGAGGTCCTAGGCAGACTTCCCTCTCCCCCTTCATTAAGTGCTTGGGGCAGACAGCATGGGGAAGGAGGTCCCCTTCCCCAGAGTACTCTCTACCCTGGATGAACTCGTGGACATTTCTCTTGTGGTCCTGCCTCCTTCCGCATGAACACCTCTCTGCCACCCCAAGCTCTGCTCTCCTCCTCTGTGAGCTCTGGCTGCCCGGTTTTTTTACTTGGGAAAGTATATCTAGATTGTGTGGTTTGCCTGGTTGTGCTATTTGCCCACTTTCCGTCCCTGAAGAAATCTCTGAACCTTTTCTCTCTTCAGCCCTAAAATTCTAAATAAAGTGGGAGTGTGATCACCTCTATGCTGAAGTAAATAGTACTTTTTGTGTGGCCCTCATGGCCCCAAACCTTAAGGCTCCAGCCTTTCCTCTTCCAGGCATATCCAGGAGACTTTCTCTTACCACTGCCGATTCCCCTGCACCCTAGATGTCAAGGGCTAGGCCTTTTCCTTCGGCTGAACTATTTTTTGAAACGTAGTCTCGCTCTGTCACCCCAGCTGGAATGCAGTAGCACCATCTCAGCTCACTGCAGCCTCCACCTCCTGGGTTCAAGCAATTCTTGTGCCTCAGCCTCCTGAGTAGCTGGAACTGCAGGTGCTTGCTACCACGCCTGGGTAATTTTTGTATTTTTAGTAGAGATGGGGTTTTCCCACGTTGGCCAGGCTGGTCTCAAACTCCTTACCTCGGGTGATAGCCCACCTTAGCCTTCCAAAGTGCTGGGATTACAGGCATAAACCACTGTGTCTGGCCTACTTAGGCTGCACTTGAAACTCAGTCCAAAACAGATCAGCCTGAGGAATGGCAGTAAGTGAGATAAGAGGGGCTGGGTAGTATCCTGGGTATGCCTATCAAGGCAGTTCAGCTTCTATTGGCTTCAGCAGTAGTGGAAGCCCAGCCACCTTCTACCTGGGGGTGATGACCACACTCTTTTAGGGATGTAATGACCACTCTGGAGGGAGACATATGAATTAGGGGATAGGAAAAAGAAAAAGGGAGGTTTGGCCAATAGAAAAGAGTAAAGGTAAAGGAAAATAAACTTAGGTGAGGTTTAATAGGATTTGGAGCCAGAGACAATGACCCATGCTCAAGAAAGTTCAGGCTTCCTTGTAGCTGAATAATTGAAATCAATGGCCAGGAAAGAGTGGACAGAGAATTCACACAAGCTTCTGAGGGGTCTAGGCCTGAGGCCGACAGGAAAAGAGGTGAGGACATGTGGACAGCCAGTAGTGGGCAAAAAGTGAAGCACCAAGCACAATATGGGGATGAGGGAGAATGCCAGTGCATTTAGCCCAGCCCCAGGCTATTGTGGGTACAGCCTCAACAAGGTCAGACATAAGAGGTCCTAGAGCAATATCAAAATAAAAGTCAGAGCTTTGGTGTAGATCTCTGGTTAGTAGGACACAGAGGACTGTGCTGTTACCGGCATCGAAGCTGGGTCTAGCTTTCAAAGATGGAGAAGGTGGCCAGGCATGGTGGCTTACGCCTGTAATTCCAGCACTTTGGGAGGCCAAGGCAGGTGGATCTCTTGAGCCCAAGAGTTCTAGTCTAGCCTGGCAACATGATGGAACTTTGTCTCTACAAAAAATTAGCTGGGCATGGAGGTATGGCCCTACAGTCCCAGCTACTCAGTAGTCGGAGGTGGGAGAATCACCCGAGCCTGGGAAGTAAAAGTCAAGCCTTCAGTCAGCTGTGATCGCACCACTGCACTCCAGCCTGGGTGACAGAGTGAGACCTTGTCTCAAAAAACAAAAGATGGAGAAGGCATTGGGATCAAGGAGGAGCTAGGATGAGTTGCTAAGACCCATAGTTAGCTGCTCCAGGACTTCATAGAGTTGGTGAACTGCCCAGCAGGAGTGTCCAAGGCAGAGAATACAGCCATGGGTTCATAGTTTCTGTTTTTGGTTGGGTCAGTAAAGCCCCTTCCTCATCCCTCTTTTCCGCTTATCCCCTTTTTTCTAGAGACAGAAACTGAAAACCATGGCTTCAGGCAGCTAAAAGTCTAAAACAAAACAAAACAGGACAATAACACAATAAGGCGGGTTGGACAAGCTTGGCACTGTGCCTCAGGCTTGTGCTCTGGTCTTTCTTCATGATACACACTTGATTTCAATGACAACTTCTATGCCTGTGAATCACACATCTATCTCTAGGCCGGACTCACAAGAGTCACCCAGTTAGCCTTACAGAGTGCAAAGCAGCTTTTATTTCCTCTTCTAGAGACATTGAGATTTCTAGTATACAGAGGTCAATCACCACAGATATACTCGATCTCATTCTTCATTTCAGTTTAATTTGACATCACACATAAATCAGACTTTTATAGTGATTTTCACGACACAGCTTCAAGTTCCACCTTGCTTTTCACTTTTCCTTTTGTTGTAAAACAGAAACTTCTTTTCCAGACCCTTATGCTATTAAGGCAGCAAGGTCCTCTCTGGCCCAGTGCTACAGACCTCAGTCTCCATATTCCGCTGATCTCTACTGTGGACTGCCTTTCTTGGCAATGATACCCACCAAGGGCTCTGCCCATAGACATCTCCCCTCCCTGTATACACAGCCCCTCTTTGCTCCCCTCAGCTGCTTCTAAATCTGAAGCCACATCTAGCTCTCTTGTCTATCAGATAACACTCACGGTTCATGCTGTTCATTCCAGCTTCCTCTCACAAATCATTTCTATCTAATTCATAGTCACCTGAAGGGTTTTGGTGCCACTGCCCTCTCACTAGGAAGTGTCCTTATCTTATTGAAGCTCGTGCTTCAATACAGCTTTGAAGGCAGCAACTGGAGGGGGAGAGTACGGCTAGAAGTGTGCAACTTACAAAGCAGTTGTGGGCAGTGCCACTCTCCTGAACCGAGGCTGCCCCCACCCACCTGATTTGGGAAGGGAAAGCGCTCTGCCCTCTTCCTTTCTGTATGTAGCACCTTGTTTCTCTTCCATTCATCCATAGCCCCTGATTTTCATCTCCACTGTTCCATAGTTTCCCTTTCTTTTTCTATTAAAATCACAAACCCAGAGTGGATTTTCGGAGCCTTTTTCCTCAGAACTGCCACCTGGACAACTCTCTTCCTTCCTTCCCACTGCAGTGTTAGGTTGTTTCCAGTTACTTATCTTCATGGAATAAAACCTTAGGTCATACCCTCGTCATATTGTTAGAAAATGGTGCCTTATATACAAATAAGAAATATAAAACAAAGGATGGGATTAGGAAAAATAGAGTGACATTATCAAATAGTACCAAGTGGCACATTACAATGAAAAGATGAGCATGTTTCTGGTCTGGGACTTGCTCTACTGCCTTCTTGACTCTTTTTGGAGGTGTTACCTACTTCATCTACACCAGCTCTGATCCATGTTTAGAGAGAACCCACGCAATAACAAGCACCCAGATTTACTAGACTCCTTCTTTTATTGGCGAAATTCTTTATTCTCTGCTTCCCTACAATGCCTGTCCTTTTCCTTTCCTATTTCTCACTTGCCTGAGAAATTGCTAGGACTGCAGGGAAAATGACACCAATTACAGTGAGAGGGATATAAACGCAGGGCCAATAACTCTACTTTCCAAGCTTCAGGTATAACCAAAGAGAGCTGAAAGGATACATTCTTGCATGTGGCTGAGGACATGAAGCCATACCAAACAAATCATCATCTCCATCTGGTTCCCAACTTAAAATCACTACGTGTCTAAAATAAATATTTCAATTTCTTAAAGAGCTGCATGAAATCATAACTACTGTGGATAGCTAAGGGAGATAAGATTTTGCTGTTCTAAAAAATAAGTATATCCTAACTTATTGTCACTAGTATGACATCCTTTAGGGATTTTCAACCAGGAGCCAATTTCCTCCCCGACATTCAGCAATGTGTGGTGACATTTTTGGTTGTCGCCTCTGTGCTGGTGCTACTGGCATTTCATGGATAGGCCAAGGATGCTGGCCGGTGTCCTGTAGTGCACAGAACAGTCCCTTAAAACAAATAATTATCCAGTTCAAAATGTCAATAGTTCTAAGGCTAAGAAGCCCTGTTTTGGGGGATGCCAGTTTCTATTGTGTCTTTTTATCTTTTACTTTTGTTCTTATGAATATTCACTGTTCGATACCAAAAACAGCAGTATCATCCATTTTTGTCAGACTGAATGCATGGCCAGCAATATGGACAGGTAGGAGTAATTTCAGGGAGCCACTATATTCACATGTCTTTCTCTCCAAGACCCCAGTAGCTACCCAAGTGGGGTCTAGGAGCTGGTGACTGGTGCCATAGGAACTACAGTGGGCCTTGGCTGCACTTTGCCAAAGGCATGGTCTCCCTGGGCTACCCTGTGCATTCTGGCATGACACTGAGGTTGGCGTTAGTGTATTGAGGTCATTTCAGATAGCACAGCGTGCCCAGGGGCCATGCCTATGTTCTGCCTAACTCAGACGTAGAACATAATTTTCAGAAGAAAAAAAATATTGACTCCTAAGTCATCATTAAGATGTTACAAAGTAGGCTTGTGGCTTTTTGTCCTAAGGTTCTCCATAAATGTGGTGTCTCCTTTGGACGCCCCATTTCTCAAGGCTTTCCTGCTGTATGTTGCCAAGATTCTAACAACAGATTCTGTGACCTCATTTCTGCCTCTCATGTTTTGGCCTGTGGTGTCTTTGAGGCTGCCATGCTCAGCCAGGGGCTCTGTTATGTCAGGCTGTGCCTCTCTGGCTTAGAGGCAGTAGGATGACTAAAACGAGCCCCAGACTTGACTGTCAAAATAGACACAGCTCCAGAGCCTTCAAGCTGTGCTACCTTCACTCTGTGTTCTCTGGGGAGTAACTCTCTGCACCTTAGTCCCATCCTGCATTTACTGTCCCACAAATTTGAAAGTGCTTTGTAAGCGAAAAAGTTCATGTAAAAGCACAGGCCTGTACTGGTTATGGAATTTTGTGGCTCTCTCATCTCTTAAGAAATTGGGTCCATCTTCCAAATGGCCTCAAATTACTTACTTTCTTCTCAGACCAATCTATTTTAGAAAGAAAGAAAAAAAAGAAAAGGAAACAAATCATCAGTATGGCACTATGGTATAGGCCATGTCTTAGGGAATTCTTAGGCCTCGTGTTGAGGTTTTGAAGGACACTGCATGTTCCAATACACCCTGATAAGCAAATAGACAGTTTACAGAAGGGAGTTCTCAAAACCACACTCTGTCCTACTTCAGGACCTCTGAGAAGAAATCCAAGAATGGTGCATTGGGTGACATCTGAATTTTTAGGAGACGTATCTTCCTCGTGGTCTGATTCTGAAGGTGGAGACTAAGCTCTCTCGGGCCTGCTCACGTGGCTCACACATGCTGGTCAAAAGAATTGGGTCAGTTTTGTGCTCTACAATGTTGAAAGGACAAGACTTCAGGTGCTCAGACATGGAGGTGACTTCATTAAACTCCCAGCTCTTGATTTTGGAGAAAAGGCTGCTGAACTGCCAGATCTGTTGAGAAAGATAGAAGTTCAAAGGTGAATATAGGGGCATTACCCTTCAGCTAGCTTTATTTGGGCCCTATAAGGAAATACCCTTCTGTTCTTCCTATTCTTAGACTCCAGAGTGTTTAGTGACTCCCGCAGACATTTGGTAGCTCCTTCTGCAGCATTCAATTCCTAGTTCCCCTTTCCAACCAATAATCTTCCCAGTCAGCCCTGTAGTTGCGAGAATGGCTAACACCAAGCAGCATATTGACCACACACACTCCCCTGCTCCTCTACCAGCAAGTGATTAATTTTAGAGTAGATGCACAGTTCAAATCAGGACAATTAGTACCAATGCAACTCTTATTTCAGAACTTTTGTCGAAGATATCGGAAAGCAGGTTCTCTTTTTCCTTCTGTACTTGAACTGGGAAGCTGAAGTCCTAGGAGCTACCAGCAATCACCAGGAACCACTGAGGGAGAACTATCTTACAATGTAGCCATTACAGAGGAAGTAGAGGTAAGAAACGGAAAGAAAAAAATGTCATTTGGGGGCAGTTTTTGAGCTGTTAGATCAAGCCTTACCTGAAGTCATTACCTTTGAACTTTTTAGTTACATAGGCCAATAAATTCCCTTTATTGTTCATGTCACTTTAGGTTGATTTTCTATTGCTTGAAATTAAAGTATCCTAACTCATAAGAGTCTCACTAGAATGGGAGCCCCATAGGAGACTTCTATAATTTCTAAAATATCCTCTGGTCTTTCCACCTGGGATGTGATGGCAAAGTTTTTCAAGTCTGGCTATGTGAGTAGGCATAACCTAATACTCTTTCAGTCTGACTACTTCACCTACAGTTTCTTGTCACTGTTCCTATGTAGGAAAAGTGGGGTTTTTTTTGAGCTCTTAGAACTATTTCCCTTTTTACTTTAAAAATCCATTCTAGGAGGGGCACAATGGCTAACACCTGTAATCCCAGCATTTGGGAGGCCAAGGTGGGCAGATCTCGAGGTCAGGAGTTCAAGACCAGCCTGGCCAACGTGGTGAAACCCCATCTTTACTAAAAATACAAAAAATTAGCTAGGCATGGTGGCAGATGCCTGTAATCCCAGCTACTTGGGAGGCTGAGGCAGGAGAATTGCTGGAACCCAGGAGGCGGAGGTTGCAGTCAGCTGAACTCGACCCACTGCACTCCAGCCTGGGCAACAGAGTGACGCTCAATCTAAAAAACAAAAACCAAAACCATAAAACAACAAAAACAAAAACAAAACCCATTCTAATGTGAGTATACTTTAGCCCCAACTAATTTTCTTTATTTCTTTCTCCAAGGAAATTAGCTTGTCCCAAAAAATATCTGAGAGTGGTCAACCATCATTGAATTGGAGACAAACTGGAGCCAAAAATTAATGCAATTTCTAGTCTCTAAATTAAATTATTTACACCTGATTTTAGGTGGTTTTAGACAATACTATTCATGAAGGCAGTGTGTCAGTCTGCAATCATATTTCTTCCTGATATGTGCTTGGTTGGCAATGTTTATTTAACACTTAAATACAGGCACATATACAAGAGGGAGAGTCTTGTAATAACTTTTTGAGGAAGACTGCTCAGGAATAAATAATGGAAAACATACCAAACGTTTTAGACATAATCAATAAAAGTAGATGTAAACAACTACAACTCCCCAATGCCAACTTGCAAACACCACATATTAGGAAGAAATTCAACGGTGAGATTATGGAATTATTGGCCTAAATGAGCATCATAAATTGATGGTTCATATTACCAACATGCTTAACATGAGAAAGGATGCTACAAGCACTGGAATATAATGAATTAGGAGCCTCACTTCAGCATGGTACAAGCTGGTAGAAGTTACAATATAGTTAAACAAACATGACCCATTGGGGAAAAGGAACAAGGTATTTCTGAAGGGAAAGGTTCTTTGATTTATACAACAGAGTGTTTTTTGAACAATTAAATTAGCATTTGAATCATGGGAAATCAGTGGGCCAATTCATTTATAATTTCAAAATGCCTTTATCAAAGGCAAAACTGTTTTAAAAAATTAGTTGATGTGGGATTGAGGAGATTGGTTGGCCTCCTGTATCAATCAAACTCAGCGCAGGGAACAGGTGGCACACTCAGACTGGGAAATCTGAAGAGGATTTTTTTTTAAAAGGAATGATTTACAGACACAAGAGCAGGGCATAGGAAAGCCACAAGATACAGTGCAGTACCCAGGGTGAATAGCAACTTAGAGAGTTATGCCTTGGTCCTGAAGGAGAAGAAGGGAGGTTGTTGGATCCCAGAGTGAGTAATTTTGTATAGAGACCCACCTGATAAAGCCACCTTCAGTGGAGGGACAGTGCCTGCTCAAAGTGTCATGAAGGAGAGAAAGCATGCAGGGGGGAAGCCAGGAGAATAGATACTTCAACCTCATTCTTCCCTCCCTCCCATTTCCTGCTGACACATTCCATTTAGGTTAGCCCCACTGGAAGCTAGAAGGCAAGGGAGCCAGCTGAGGCAATCTGTACAGGTCATCCTCCCAGGGGACAGACAGGGTGGAGAAGAATGGAGAATGGATGTTGTGAGCAAACAGAAGATGTTCAGCACGCATATACAGATGAACAGGCTCTATCCTCTGCATTGCTATTTACGTGTTTATAACTCTGTCTTTTCTACTAGACTGACTTCCTTGAGTCAGTCTTACCAGTGCCTAGTACTGTGCTTGGCACATAAAAAGCTCCTTAAGGCTGGGCCCAGTGGCTCATGAGTGTAATCCCAGCACTTTGGGAGGACAAGGCAGGAGGATCACCTGAGGTCGGGAGTTTGAGACCAGCCTGACCAACGTGGAGAAACCCTGTCTCTATTAAAAATACAGGATTAGCCTGGCATGGTGGCGCATGACTGTAATCCCAGTTACTCGGGAAGCTGAGGCAGGATAATCGCTTGAACCCAGGAGGTGGAGGTTGCAGTGAGCTGAGATCATGCCATTACACTCCAGCCTCGACAACAAGAGTGAAACCCTGTCTCAAAACAAACAAACAACTCATGAAAAATATTTGTTACACCCAGGTGCAGTGGCTCACACATGTAATTTCAGCACTTTGGGAGGCCAAAATGGGAAGATCACTTGAGGTCAGGAGTTGAGTAGTTCAAAACCAGCCTGCACAATACAGTGAGACCCCATCTCAATTTAAAAATTAGTCAGATGTGGCTGGGCATGGTGGCTCACACCTGTAATCCCAGCACTTTGGGACGCCAAGGCGAGAGGATCACCTGAGGTCAGGAATTCGAGACCAGTCTGGCCAACATGGTGAGACCCCATCTCTACTAAATATACAAAAAATTAGCTGGTTGTGGTGGCATGCCCCTGTAATCCCAGCTACTCAGGAGTCTGAAGTGAGAGAATTGCTTGTACCCAGGAGGTTGAGGTAGCAGTGAGCTGAGATAGCGCTGCTGCATTCCAGCCTGGGCGACAGAGCGAGACTTCATCTCAAAACTATTAATAAATAAATGTTAGTTAGATGTGGTGATGCACATCTGTAGTCCCAGCTACTTGGAAGACTGAGGCAAGAGGATCACTTGAGCCCAGAAGTTTGAGGCTGTAGTAAGCTACGATTGAGCCACTGCACTTTTGCCTGGCAACAGAGAGAGAATCTGTCTCTAAAAAATGAAACAAAAAATTGTTGAATGAACCAATTACTACATAAATGAGTGTTTACTCACTTCTCTGTGGACTCTCCAGGAGAAGCCTCCATGGGAACACCTCTTCTTCTTCCATTGCAAGAGGACCATCCCTCTCTCTTGTAACAAAGTGGCACAGATATTCCTCATCAGCACAGACACCTGGGAGAGCTGGGCCAGGCTGACGCTGTCCAAGAACCCAGCAATGTACTGCAAAATCTCCAGGGGCAGGCTGGTTAGAGAATTCTGACTTTTTCCTCCATGGCCCAAAAGATGGTTGTTCTTCCTTCCCTCACTCAGCTCTGGAGCAACCTCTGGCTTAATGGCAAAGGTCTTGAGCTCCTGACTATAGATTACTTTTGCCTTTTGCCCTGGGGGACGGAAATGGTTTTGAACAAATGTACATCCCAAGTAGGCAAGAGGGCATCGATGCTGGAACCAGCCATTGAGACATGACTGAATGTCTGTGTGGACATTCTTGAAGTGCAGGGGGAACTCATCCCTCCTGAAGAATTTGCTGCAAGTGAAAGTGAAGGCAGAGCTGCTTTTGTTGTGTCTCCTGGTCACACACTCACTGTGGAGCTCCACGTGGAGTCCCACTGGGGTGGCAGGGGCTAGGTCAGCCAGCACTGTCCCAGAGGAAAACTGTTCTGGCTCAAAGTTGTATGTTTGTGTGGCAAAATCCATGAACAGTCCGTCAATGCTTCTGGATTCAGAGATGACGTGGCCTTTGAGTTCTCTTTCCAAAGCACACTGGAGGGTGGTCTTGATGAGATCTGATTTGGGCAGATCCTCCACAGTGATCCCCAGATCTGAAGTATCCACTGCCTTGTGTTCACTGGGCTTACAACTCAACATGGCATCTCCAAGTCGAGCTCGCTTTCCACAGTAGCTCACAGGAACTTTGAAGGTGTACACAGTCTTAACTTCCTGAGCCTCAAGCTTGCCATAAACAAAGTCTCTTTCCTTAGGTGTACAAGCAGGCATCTGACCAAAGTGAATCAGCATTCGCCCGTTGTGCACTAGATACATGTTATAGTCCTTTGCATCCACAGCTGTTTTCAGTCTTTCCAGAACACCATCCTGCCAAGGGGCAAGCCCCATGGTTTCCACGGTTTTATGAATGTCCTGCTGCTTCTGATTCTCCTGTGGTTCTTTCTTTTTGGGAACGCCCTCTCCTTCAACCATGCTATTGCCACTGGAAATCTGTTCTTTCTCTGGGCCATTCTTGTTCTTGTTCTCATAGCTCACTGATGAATTTGTTAAAGCAGAGGCTGCATGCTCCTTACTGAAAATATTTTCCCACTGGCCAAACTTGTCCAGGTCCATCCCTTCTTTGGTTTTGGCTAGCATCTCCCGTTCTTCTTGACTTAGCTCTGCCATCTCCTCATTAGTTGCTGACAAATCATGTGGTACCAAACTGACATCCAATCCACCCACTGCTCCTCCCATGTCCTCCACACTGGTTTCACCATTCATAGTTGGCTCCTCCTCAGTGGCCTCTCTAGTTTCTGGGAAAAGTTCCACCATTTTCAAGGATCTGAAGAGGACCTTCTGGTCCTGCAGGGCCAGGGCTGTGTCCAAACACTCCTCATTGGGGTTTTCTTTCATAATGTTCTCATGAAGGGTGGTTTCAGAGTCCACGTTTGGCCAGCGGTTCCACTCCATAGAGCAGCAGACCACACTGGCGGGGCACACCTGCAGGTGCTTGGCCAGCTTGTGGCGGGACATGGACAGGGGGCAGCCATATTTGGAGTTGAGGCAGGGAACCTGCTCTAATGGACAGAGGAGCTGGTGCTCTGCCTCTTTGCACATGTGGAAGGTGGCACCACAGAGCAAGTGGCAGCTTATTACCAGGCAGGAGATGTTGGGTTCCACAGGAACGTAGCAGTGACGGTTGAAGCACCCCTCGCAATGCCTGTGCTGCCCTGGTGAGGGCCTGCGTGCTTTCCCCTGGAGACACCAAGGACAGGGGAAAGAAAACAAATGGATACTGAGGAGAAGCTCTATGCATATCTGTGACTGTGTTTTAATTGACATATTTCCTGTTTATACCTGCTTTTTACAGAAACCTTGAAATGTGTAGAAAATCACAATCCCGCAATCCAGAAATAACAACTATAATTACTTTTTACTATAGTTTATTGTATATTTGGAGTAGATGTGTTTAGAATAGGAAAAAAAGAACTGAATATAGTGGACTACATTGTTAACAATGGTTATTTTTGAGTTGTGGATTACAGGTGATATATATCATACAGATAACACTATGAATATGACTTCTCATCCTGCTTTTTGAGACTAGATTGTTTTATTAGTTATTCTTTGCAAACTTTTTTTTATAATGGCAGTGTAACATTCTGGAATATGGGTGTGCTATCATTTAATCAGCTACCACCAGAAGGCGGGCTGGGAGGACAGCAGCCATGTCTGGTTTTGCACGCATCAAAGTCCCAAGCATCTGGCATGGGGCCTGGACTTTTGAGAGTACTCAGTGCTTGCTGAATGAAGGAACTGTTAACCATTTAGACTATTACTGGCTTTTTGACTATTTTATTTAAATTTTCACTAAAATTCTTTGCTCAAAAATCCTTCTCAACTCTGTTTTCCCCTTACTCTGCATCAGTTTCTTCCAGGTTCTGTTCAGCATCTCTGGTTTGGAAAAAAGCTGATAAATATTATACAAACCATAAGAACAAGTCTGCTAGCTGCTTGGGCTACAGGCTAAATTAAAAAAGACCTGGACCTCTCAATGTGAAGCCCTAATAAGCTCCTGGTGCTTACCATGGCGCCCCAATTTCTTCTTGCTTCTTAGCTCTAGGGGAAAATATGAATATAAATGATTAGTAAGAAAAGCAGTTAAGTTATCTATATTAACAGGGGCTAAAGAGACTTCACACACTGTCTCATTTAATTCCTTCCACCATCCTGGAGGTGCCTTTTTCCCCCATTTTTGAGACAAGGAAACAGAAGCTTGAAGAAGGTAAGTAACTTGTCCAAGGTCACACAGCTGCTAAGTGATGGAATCGGCTTTGCAATCCAGGCCATGCTGGCCCATGCTATTTTCACTGACCCCCACTGCCCTCTGATGGGGCATATTACCAACCATGGAATGTGTAACTTCTGCTTCCTGTAACTTTTCTCCATTGTCTGCTGACAATTATCCTGGCATTCTAAACACTTTTCTACCCACAGTCTGGCATAGGTTACCTTCTAATCTTCTCTTCCACTGGGGCTTCCTGTCCACTTAGAGGTCAGCCTGACATCTCCCTTGGTCTGGGGCAGTGTATAGGCATCTGTGAAATATCTGTAACATGCCATTCCCCTTGGCATATTCAGCTGTGCTGTGGCTAGAGCAGAGGTCACAACCCCAAAGGTCCCAGAGGTCGATTGAGTGGAAAGCCTGGCAAGTGAAAGAGAAAATGCCCTGCCTTCAGGGAAATGAAATTTCTCAGCTAGCTCTGGTTAATTGATGCCATATGGGAATGTGTTGCCAGACCTGGTTTTTCCAGAAACAGTAGGGATGAGGACTTTTGTGAGTGGTGATATGGTTTAGTGGTTGGAAGGCAGACTGGACAGGTTTCAACCCTGGCGCTATGAGTCAGTGGCTCTGAGACTTTGGGAATGTTACTTCACCTCTTTGCTCATCAGTTTCCCCATTTGTAGAGAGAAGATAATAATAGCACTTATCCCATAGTGCTGTTGTGAGGAGTAAATGAGCTAAATATACATGAAACTCTTAGAACAGTGCTTGTCTCATAAGGAGTGATCTATACGTTTGCTATTATAAAGTAGTATTTTACATTTCATCATAATGCAAAATATTTTGCTATATAATACATCATAATGCAAAAGATTTTACTACATAATATATCAAAATAAAAATCCTCTGAATTTTAAATGTTAGCAACTAACTTAATTTAAAACAACACTCTATTTGTGCCAAGGAAAACATTAATGCTGGCCAAATAGGATCTGTAGGTTGCCAGTTTGCAATTATCTGGTCTAGAGAATTTGTAACATAATTTCAGCACTGTGTTAGTCTGTGAAGGAGTGGGGAGGTTAGCATCCAAATGTCAGAAGATCCAGATCCATAAGTTTAAAATTTGGCCAGGTGCAATGACTCACACCTGTATTCCTAGCACTTTGGGAGGCTGAGGTGGGTTGATTGTTTGAGCCCAGGAGTTCAAGACCAGTCTGAGCAACATAGTGAGACCCTATCTCTACTAAAAAAAAGTTAAAAAATTAGCTGGACATGGTGGTGCATGCCTGTGGTCCCAGCTACTTAAGAGTGATGCTGGCCGGGTGTGGTGTCTCATGCCTGTAATCCAAGCACTTTGGAGGCCAAGACGGGTGGATCACCTGAGGTCGGGAGTTCAAGACCAGCCTGACCAACATGGTGAAACCCTGTCTTAAAAAAAATAATAGGCCGGGCGCGGTGGCTCACGCCTGTAATCCCAGCACTTTGGGAGGCCGAGGCAGGTGGATCACAAGGTCAAGAGATCGAGACCATCCTGGTCAACATGGGGAAACCCCATCTCTACTAAAAATACAAAAAATTAACTAGGCATGGTGGCGCGTGCCTGTAATCCCAGCTACTCAGGAGGCTGAGGCGGGAGAATTGCCTGAACCCAGGAGGCGGAGGTTGCGGTGAGCCGAGATCGTGCCATTGCACTCCAGCCTGGGTAACAAGAGCGAAACTCCGTCTCAAAAAAAAAATAATAATAATAATAATAATAAAATAAACAATAAAAAAAAGAGTGATGCTGAGGTGAGAGGATCAGGAGGTCAAGGCTGCAGTGAGCCGTAATGGCACCACTGCACTCCAGTGTGGGTTCTTGAGAGAGTAAGACCCTGTCTAAAAAAAAAAATTTTTTTTTTACGTTACATTAGAATTTGCCAATTCATTGTGAATAAAATTTCCCCCAACTTTAAAAAAAATTTTTAAATATTGTTTTTTACTTCCAAAGACAAATCATCAAAAATATAAAATAATAAAAGAAAAAACATTTCAAATATACAAAAAAAGTGAAGGAATATATACAATGAACACCAAAATATACTTAGCTAGATGCAATGATTGCTAACATTTTGCCATTTTTGTGTCCTCTCTTTCTCTCCTCTCTGTCTCTCTCTGTCTCCCCCCATCCCTGCCCACCCACCACACACACACAGTTTTGGCTGAGCCACTTGAAAATAAGTTGTTGATGTAAGATGCTTTATCCCTAAGTACTTCAGCTTGTATTTCCTAAGAATAAAGCCTTATAATAACATTGCCTTACCTAAGAAAACTAAAAATTCTTTTCTAATATATAAAATGCCAATAGTCACATTTCTCCAGTTGTACTCAAAATATCTATTATAGTTATTTTTAATATTTTTGTTTATTCAACATTTTATTGATATATAATAGTTGTACATATTTGGGGGTACATGTAATATTTTGATGCCTGTATACAATGTGGAATGATCAAATCAGGGTAATTGGGATATCCATCACCTAAAACACTTTTCTTTGTGTTGGGAACATTATAATTCTTCTCTTTTAGCTTTTTTTTTTGAGACAGAGCCTCACTCTTGTTGCCCAGCCTGGAGTGCAATAGCACATCACAGCCCACTGAAACCTTCATCTCCTGGGTTCAAGCGATTCTCCTGCCTCAGCCTCCCAAGTAGCTGGGATTACAGGTGCTTGCTACCATGCCCAACTAATTTTTTTGTATTTTTAATAGAGATGGGGTTTCACCATGTTGGCTAGGATGGTCTCGTCTCGATCTCTTGACCTTGTGATCCACCTGCCTTGGCCTCCCAAAATGCTGGGATTACAGGCATGAGCCACCATGCCTGGCCCAAAATTTTTTAACTGTTACATAATATTTGTACATATTTATGGTATACATGTGATATTTTGTTACATGCTACTGAGTGTGAAAGAGGAATAACGGTAGAGTGCTCTATGCTCCTAATAGCCCTAGTCAGGGGGCAGGTGAGAAGTCCCAAGCAGGAGCATCAAACAGGGTTAGGACCCAGCAGAAGATAAACAAAGCTGTTAAAGACAGAGAAAGAGAGGAACAGAGTAGGGTGGCTGAGAGGGTTGGGCTGTGCTATGGTCTGAATGTTTGTGTCCCCCCCCAAATTAGAATGTGGAAATCTAATTCCCAGTGTGAGGGTGTCTGGTCATGGGGCCTTCAAGAGGTGATTATGTTCAAGAAAGTCCTGCTTACCAGGCCTCTTGTTTAATAAGACGTGACCAGTGTGACTCCATCTTAAAGTGAATAGTGAGGCACTCACAAGACACCTGTAAGGTTAATGCTTATGGTCTGAAAATAGCCACATCCCAAGCTGACCATCACTTATAATTACAGAATATTTATGGCCAGACAAAACATCTCACACCAAGCCTGCAGAACTTCCAGATGTCCTGAGAGTGCAACCCTTTTTACTTACTTAGAGATAATGTTAATGAGCAAGGTGTGGTTAAAAATTTAAAAGATTGATGGTCACTGATAACACTGACAGCCACTGCCTTTAGTGAGCACATCCGCACATTTCAAGTTTAATTTAGCTCCTTATGGTATTTTTTTTCTGTTTTGGAGACAGTCTCATTCTGTTGTTCTGTTGCCCAGGCTGGAATGCAATGGCGCCATCTCAGCTCACTGCAACCTCCGCCTCCCAGGTTCAAATGATTCTCCCACTTCAGCCTCCCCAGTAGCTGGGATTACAGGTGTGCACCACCACGCCAGGCTAATTTAGTATTTTTAGAAGAGACAGGGTTTTGCCAAGTTGGCCAGGCTTGTTTCAAACTCCTGACCTCAAGTAATCTACCTGCTTCGGTCTCCCAAAGTGCTGGAATTACAGGCATAAGCCACCACACCAGGCCTTGTAGTTTCTTATAAGTAGAGCCACTAACAAAAGAGGGAGCATTCCTTCTTTTGCTGCAGATGCCATAGCCTGTAACAGTAGTTTCCAACAAACATGCTTCTTTCACTGTACTCTGACTTGCCTCAAATCCTTTCCCGTGAGAATCCAAGAACCCACTCTTGGGGTCTGGATCATGATCCTCTTTTCTGGCAACATCTTTCTGGTGTCCTCGTATGAGGATTGACAAGAAGAAGAAACTCCCACTCCGAAGGAAAACAGTCTGCGTAGCATCGATTGGCTGACTTTGGGTAAGCGGGGCTCATTTTAGAGTCATTAAGCCATTCTGGGGGAAAAGAATGCTTGTCCACTACTACCTGGGTCAGAGGCCCAAGGCTCAAGGGGTTACAAGCACCAGGGTTTATTTGGGAAAATGGATTTAGCCCTATGAGATGTTTGCCACTATCTCCTTGGTAGTAATCCACATTGTGCTCTCTGATGCTGGCCTGATCCTCCTGCTTCTTGTCTCCTGTTGGCTTGCTGCCTTTGTTTCACAGAAGCCCTGAGGCTGCCACAGAAAGGAAGGGTGGCCTAAACAGTTTAGCTTTTTTTTTTTTTTTTTTTTTTTTGAGACAGTGTCTCACTCTGCCACCCAGGCTGGAGTGCAATGGTGCGATCTCGGCTCACTGCAACTTCCGCCTCCTGGGTTCAAGCAATTCTCCTGCCTCAGCCTCCTCAGTAGCTGGGATTACAGGCACCTGCCACCATGCCCAGCTGTTTTTTGTATTTTTAGTAGAGACAGAGTTTCACCATGTTGGCCAGGCTGGTCTCAAACTCCTGACCTCAAGTGATCCGCCCACCTCAGCCTCCCAGAGTGCTGGGATTACAGGGATGAGCCACCATGCCCGGCCACCAAACAGTTTAGCTTTTACTTTCCTTGCCTCTCGTCTCACTCAATTTGC